GCCTTCGTTATACTCGATCAGGGGACTGTGTTATACTCGATCAGGAGACTTTGTTATACTCGATCAGGGGACTTTGTTATACTCGATCAACGACTTTGTTATCCTCGATCAGGGGACTTTGTTATACTCGATGAGGGCTTTGTTATACTCGATCAGGGGACTCGATTGTTATACTCGAATAGGGACTTTGTTATAATCGTTCAGGCGACTTTGTTATACTCGATCAGGGGACTTTGTTATACTCGATAGGGGACTTTGTTATACTCGACCAGGGGAGTTTGTTATACTCGATTCAGGGACTTTGTTATACTCGATTTTGTTATATTCGATCAGGGGACATTGTTATACTCGATGAGGGGACTTTGTTATTCTCGATTATGGGACTTTGTTATACTCGATCAGGGGCCTTTGTTAAACTCGATTAGGGGACTTTGTTATACTCGACCAGGGGACTTTGTTATACTCGATCAGGGGCCTTTGTTATACTCGATCAGGGGCCTTTGTTTTACTCGATCAGGGGACTTTGTTATACTCGACCAGGGTTCTTTGTTATACTCGATCAGAGGCCTTTGTTATACTTGATCAGGGGGCTTTGTTATACTCGATCAGGGGACTTTGTTATTCTCGATCAGGGGGACTTTGTTATACTCGATCAGTGGGCTTTGTTATACTCGATCAGGGAACTTTGTTATACTCGATGAGGGTCTTTGTTATACTCGGTCAGGCGCCTTTGTTATATTCGATCAGGTATGCCTTTGTTATACTCGACCGGGGGAATTTGTTATACTCGATGAGGGGCCTTTGTTAAACTCGAACAGGGGCCTTTGTCATACTCGATTAGGGGACTTTGTTATACTCGATCAGGGGGCTTTGTTTTACTCGATCAGGAAACTTTGTTATATTCGATCAGGGTCCTTTGCTATAATCGTTCAGGGGACTTTGTTATACTCGATTAGGGGCCATTTTTATACTCGATCAGGGGACTTTGTTATACTCGAATAGGGGACTTTGTTATAATCGTTCAGGCGACTTTGTTATACTCGATCAGGGGACTTTGTTATACTCGATGAGGAGATTTTGTTTTACTCGACCAGGGGAGTTTGTTATACTCGTTCAGGGGACTTTGTTATATTCGATCAGGGGACTTTGTTATACTCGATCAGGGTACTTTGTTATACTCGATTAGGGGACTTTGTTATATTCGATGAGGGGACTTTGTTATTCTCGGTGAGGGGGCTCTGTTATACTCGATCAGGGGACTTTGTTATACTGGATGAGGGGACTTTTTTATACTCGATTAGGGGTCATTTTTATACTCGATTAGGGGACTTTGTTATACTCGAATAGGGGTTTTTGTTATAATCGTTCAGGCGACTTTGTTATACTCGATCAGGGGACTTTGTTATACTCGATCAGGGGACTTTGTTATTCTCGACCAGGGGAGTTTGTTATACTCGATCAGGGGACTTTGTTATACTCGATCAGGGGACTTTGTTATACTCGATCAGGGGACTTTGTTATACTTGATCAGGGGCCTTTGTTATACTCGATCAGGGGACTTTGTTATACTTGATTAGGGGACTTTGTTATACTCGATCAGGGGACTTTGTTATATTCGATGAGGGGACTTTGTTATTCTCGATCATGGGACATTGTTATACTCGATGAGGGGCCTTTGTTATACTTGATCAGGGGGCTTTGTTATACTCGATCAGGGGACTTTGTTATTCTCGATCAGTGGTGACTTTGTTATACTCGATCAGGGGGCTTTGTTATACTCGATCTGGGAACTTTATTATACTTGATAAGGGTCCATTGTTATACTCGTTCAGGCGCCTTTGTTATATTCGATCAGGGGCATTTGTTACACTGGATCAGGGGCCTTTGTTATACTCGATCAGGGGACTTTGTTATACTCGATCTTGAGACTTTGTTATACTCGATCAGGGGGCTTTGTTTTACTCGATCAGAAAACTTTGTTATACTCGATCACGGGCCTTTGTTATAATCGTTCAGGGGACTTTGTTATACTCGATCAGGGGACTTTGTTATACACGATCAGGGGACTTTGTTATACTCGATCAGGGGACTTTGTTATATTCGATGAGGGGACTTTGTTATTCTCGATCATGGGACATTGTTATACTCGATGAGGGGCCTTTGTTATACTCGATGAACGGTCTTTGTTCTACTCGACAAGGGGAGTTTGTTATACTCGATCAGGGGACTTTGTTATACTCGTTCACGGGACTTTGTTATACTTGATCAGGGGACTTTGTTATTCTCGATGAGGGGGCTTTGTTATACTCGATCAGGGGAATTTGTTATGCTTGATGAGGGGCCTTTGTTAAAATCGTTCAGGGGACTTTGTTATACTCGATCAGGGGACTTTGTTATAATCGTTCAGGGGACTTTGTTATACTCGATCAGGGGACTTTTTATACTCAATCAGGGGACTTTGTTATACTCGATCAGGGGACTTTGTTATACTCGATCAGGGGAATTTGTTATACTCAATGAGGTGCCTTTGTTATACGCGATCAAAGTCCTTTGTTGTACTCGATCAGGGGACTTTGTTATACTCGATCAAGGACTTTGTTATCCTCGAGCAGGGGACTTTGTTATACTCGATGAGGGGGCTTTGTTATACTCGATCAGGGAACTCTGTTATATTCGATGAGGGGACTTTGTGCTACTCGATTTGGGGCCATTTTTATACTCAATCAGGGGACTTTGTTATTCTCGAATAGGGGACTTTGTTATACTTGATCAGGGACTTTGTTATACTCGATCAGGGACTTTGTTATACTCGATCAGGGGGCTTTGTTTTACTCGATCAGGAAACTTTGTTATACTCGATCAGGGGCCTTTGTTATACCCGATTAGGGGACTTTGTTATACTCGATCAGGGGACTTTGTTATACTCGTTCAGGGGACTTTGTTAAACTTGATCAGGGGACTTTGTTATACTCGATCAGGGGTCTTTGTTATACTTGATCAGGGGGCTTTGTTAAACTCGATGTGGGGCCTTTGTTATACTCGACCAGGGGACTTTGTTATACTCGATCAGGGGATTTTGTTATAGTCGATGAGGGGCCTTTGTTATACTCGATCAGGGCGCTTTGTTATACTTGATCAGGGGCCTTTGTTATATTCGTTCAGGGGACTTTGTTATACTCGATCAGGGGACTTTGTTATACTCGATCAGGGGACTTTGTTATACTCGACAAGGGGAGTTTGTTATACTCGAACAGGGAACTTTGTTATACTCGATGAGGGGCCTTTGTTAAACTCGATGAGGGGCCTTTGTTATACTCGACCAGGGGACTTTGTTATACTCGATCATGGGCCTCTGTTAAACTCGATCAGGGGCCTTTGTTATACTCGATCAGGGGACTTTGTTATTCTCGATCAGGGGACTTTGTTATACTCGATGAGACGCTGTTATACTCGATCAGGAACCTTGTTGCATACTCGATCAAGGGCCTTTATTATAATCGTTCAGGGGACTTTGTTATACTCGATCAGGGACTTTCTTATACTCGATCAGGGGACTTTGTTATACTCGACCAGGAGTTTATTTATACTCGATTAGGGGCCTTTGTTAAACTCGATCAAGGGTTTTGTTATACTCGATCAGGTGACTTTCTTATACTCGATCAGGGGACTTTGTTATACTCGATCAGGGGGCTTTGCTATACTCGATTAGGGTACTTTGTTATTCTCGATCATTGGACTTTCTTATACTCGATCAGGGGCTTTAGTCGAGGGGTCTTTACTTTAAGGCGTAACTCTTAATGAGAAATAGTTCACAAATGGGCGACGTTGATATATTTATTATTTTATTTTTTCTCACATTATCCAACTTATGATCATTTTTACTCTACATTATCCTTTCATTATTAATCAAAGAGACAAAACAGTGATGATATACCTTTGGAGGAACACGTGTTTACACCACATAAAATCAAATCATACATATTTGTCGAGTGTTAATATTTTGGACACACTAGACAGGTTACCTCTCTCGCCGGCCAGTTGGTATGCCTGTCTCTGTAGCCCAGGATGGTTGGTATGCGTGGCTCTGTGTCCAGGGAGTGTTGATAGGCGTGGCTCTGTGGCATACTGATCTTACGACATTCGGTAACCGAACATTATATTAATTACACCCAAATAAATACATATTGCATTACTTATCTAATATACTAAAGGACTAGGCGTCTGTCTGTCTGTCTGTCTGTCTGTTCTGGGCAGCAGAAACGGCACAATCGTTTTTAATCAAACTTGGTGGAAAAATCGCAAAAACTTCGTGGAGTGGAACAAACCTGGTCCCATGTCGATGGTTTCTTTAGGAAGGCATTAATTAACCATTTTATTTACGATGGAAAACGATGCAAGTCTACGGACTTGGCGCACCCCAATTAAAAATGCAAGTCTACGGACTTGGCGCACCCTCATTCGCTGTACGCTAGCCAAGCACGAGCGTTCAAACTTTCAGTGGGCACGAACGTGCCCGCGATCACTTGTATTAAACTATATACCAAAGTAAATGCATGTCCCAGTATGTATCATCCGTGGTCTCTTAGTGTGGACCGATACTTTTTTGAGATATGGTACGGACGTTACCGTGATATATAGCAATCTGTTTCTGTTATCTGTCTGTGTTTGTCTATTATGTAGGAGATTAATGAAAGGAAAATTTATAGCCTCAAGGGAAGAAGGACATGAGAGAGAGAGAGAGAGAGAGAGAGAGAGAGAGAGAGAGAGAGAGAGAGAGAGTAACGAAAACAACAATGCACTTTTTACAATTATTTTATTTAAATTATTAAACGATTTTCTTCTCACTTGTTGGTAGAAATAGTGAGAGATTTTCTTAGACCACGTGTGAGAGATAGTGAGAGAGTGTGAGAGATAGTGAGAGAGACTATTCCTACTAGTGTCTCCATTAATCATCTACTGACAGTCTTACTCGACATGTTTGGTGACTGTACGTACGTAAATCCCACTGTCCCGAAACAGTCTGTGGTGTAGAGAGAGATGGAGAGGATACTAACACTGCTACCTGTGATCACAAAACATTGGAAACAACAGCGTAGTTATGATGTGAGGAGGAGGGGGGTGGTGGGTAAGGAGGAGGAGCAGGAGGAGGTGGAGAAAGAGGAAGAGAAGTAACTTACCTGAAGGGAGGCTCAAAGGTGGAGGTGTTGGCCATATTCTGCCAGCCATCATGAGTGAGGATGGTGCCCTTGGTGATCACACACACGGGGGACAACACAGGAGACCCGCCGTGTTCCAGACCTGCAACAGTGTCCTCGATTATTACTTAATCAACAGGTGAAATAATCCGGGGTGTCTTATCCTCAGGTGATCTCTATATTATTTACACACTGAACAATATCTTAGTTTTTCTACGTTATAATTAAATTATGTGTTTCTTGACTTTTTAATTAAATACCAAAGGTGGGATAGAGATAAACAATACAGTACAGAAGGTAATTAAAGGTTAATCCACACAGGTAATACAAGAGAAGGTTGGGAGGCTTGGCACCGCTCCTCACCTGGTCACGAACAACCAGAGCAGCATAATACTAACTGAGGTTAAAGGGAGCCTAAACCACACAGGGCGGATGATTACATAACACCTCCACTAATGGAATGATCATTAGACAGCCTGAGTGCCACTGACTGACTCCAGGGTAGTAATGTCTTCTGTAATCCCATCTTGATCTACAGACTGTTGGTGTTATTTGTCTCTGTTTGTCGCTCATTAGGTTAGTGGGTGTTGGTGCTTCTGATAAAGGAAGAAAAACTCATTGTGGACTTTTAGTTTAACTCCAGAATAGTTCAGCTGATGGTTGAGGCTCTCTAAGGAAGGAGGACCTACTGAGCTCCTTTACTCTGAAGGAGGAGGACCCAGTATACACTTCTTCCTCCTGTTACATATAATAATCATGTGAAGATTGAGACTCACCTAGAAGGGCGACCTCAGCTGTGGGGTGGACCAGCTGATGCTTCATGGGCATGTACACATACGGGATCTTCTCGGAGCCTGAACTGCTAACGAAGTCCGCCACGGAACACTCTGTAAACAAGAAAGATGTCAGCTGGATGTTTCATTACTGTCAACTATACTGTTTAAAATCTGTGAGAGCTCTTCCTTGTAGACTAACTCCAAAAGGTATCTTTACAATTTTGTGTTAGACAATATGACACAACGGACGGAGAATTTTGACAACCCTACCGAGACAACAGGAGTCGCAGTGTTCATTTTTAAATTCATCGGACCTCTCCCTGAAGATACTTTTTGGAGCGAGTTACCGAGAGAACTTGTGTCGTAGCTTTTATGACGTTAGCACCTCTGTTATTGTTATAATCCCAGGGCCCACTTCTCTCTCCCTGTCAATAATCGCTTGGCTGGTGCTTGTGGTGAAGGTAACCACTAATGCTCAAATCACGCCAGACTCTGTGCTTGGAGTCTTCCTTCTGTCTTTAAAATTTACTTTGGGCAACTTTATGATCCAGTCTGTGTGTTTAATTGTTATCATTACCTTAGTGTTCAGTTTGATGTAGGTCACGAGGTAAACTTCACCTTGTAAAACTAACTAAACACTACTAATGAGTATTCGATTCCTTCCTGTTGACACACTTACAGGTGGATGAGAGGCTTTAAAAGGGGCGTTGTTTCCACAGTCTCCTACACAACAATATATTACGTAAGCAAGATAAGACTACCTTGTGTATAGTGTGTTTTACCCCGGGTGGTGAGGTTTATGATAAGCAGGTCGGGGGAGGGAGAGTCAGGTGGTTAGGTTAGGTTTTCTTTACAACACCAGGAACCATCATTGACAGGTGAACCTCCCAACAGTATGTTAATAAAGCAGTGGCTGGAACTCGGTATTCAAAGCGTAGCATATATCATACGCCACAGGTATTTGGGAATAATACCAGACGCTGCGTATTGAAATGTATGCGTATGTGTGGCCAGCACGAGTAATTGAAAATATTTACGCAGCTTATTATTTAAACTATGTTGGCGGGGATTCTAATGGTAAGGGAAATTATGTACCCGAAATTGTATGCAAAAACCTGTCCATATGACGCGGAAAAACAGCTGAATCTATTGTGGAAAAGGAAAACTTTCTAGAAGTATTGTTATAATGAAAAACTTTTGTTGATAAAAGTGTCTTGCTGTTTATGTTGTTATTCAATGTTTCAGTAAATCTAACTTTATGTAGTGAGGATAAGGTAAAGTTACTGCGGGTTATGTCAAGAGAGTTTTATGTCAAGTTCCCTACAGATTCTCTCACTCTCTCTCTCTCTCTCTCTCTCTCTCTCTCTCTCTCAGGTCAAGGCCGGCACTTCTCACCAAAAACAACCAATCAATTGATCATTATAACAAACAAGTTAAAACATTAGTAAAGAAACTGTCGCTAAAAACCTCAAAACTCAACCAATTAACTTCTATTAATTTAAACAACACAAGATGAAATAATATGACCAGAAACCAGTGAACGCCAGACGTTAACGGGGCATTAAACATCGTCTGGGGTGGCAATGACCAACAAAAAAATCCCCTTCTTTTTTATCTTCAATGTCCCTGATGTTATTTGCAGTAATACCAACACCTCATACCTGGCGGGTAACCCTTACACCTTGATCCATCAGAAGCACAGGTTAATTAGTGTATTGTGTTCATATTTGATTTTTACATATTGACGTCATTGATGGTTACTTGTATACGAAGGAAAAGGTGATACTCCTTAGTGATGGTGAGTGTGTCAATATGTTTGAGGTGTTTAGTACCTGTGTTGTGTGTTAATGAAGGATATGTAATGTATGAGACTCCTGATGTATTTATTATTGAGTTGTGTTTTATGATGTATGTATGTAAGTAATGTATGTATGTGGCGACCTACTGTGTAATGGTCAGCAAGCGAGTGCACCCGAGTTCGACCCCCGGATTGTATTCCGGGGTAATGGTTAGCCAGTGCAGTTGGTGAGTTGTCCGGTCTTCTCGGACAATTCCTTGACACTGATTCATGCAACTCGTTCACTCAGGGTGTGGTTGTTGTGTTGACGGCTGCTTCTACACCTTTAACAAATTCACGCCATGGTGGCCCTAGGGCCGGCCTGTGTGTTGCTGTGGCCGTGTTATTTTTTATGGCACTGATTTACAAGTGACAAATTATCTCCTGTCCTGAAAAATCTGGCGTCAAGTCATTGTGTTTATCCCGAGATCAATTATCGGCTTATACATTATTCAGAAGATCAAAGGATTATCTATAATTGTAGTTTCCGATTATACTGTATATAACCGATCTCAAAGATAATTGGATCATCGTCAGATTTAGGGGGTTGTAAATTTTGTTCCCTCCAAAATACAGCTTAAGCAAATACACCTCAGGTTAATTTTCCATTTACCAACTAGTTCTAATGTCTAAGTTCATATTCAGTATCCAGTTATGACGGTGTTGTGTAGTTGTGAGTTAACTTACGTATGGGCCGTAGTTGAGGCTGTTTTGACCTTATGCTGTATTTAAGAATATGATTTGACCTTTGATCTACAGTAGTTAGGTTAGCTCTATGGGTCATTCGTTTTGTTTTACACACACACACACACACACACACACACACACACACACACACACACACAGTGGGCCAGAGTAGCGTTATACCAGCAGTGTAAACATAATGCACCTGGGGGTAATACCGGCCTTACCCTGACGGTTGTTGCAGCGGGAGATCATATCGGTACTGGTGAAGCTAATTCCCTGTCCCCGCCAGCCTGACCTGTGGACCACGGGGGCAAGGAATATCTCTCTCTCTCTCTCTCTCTCTCTCTCTCTCTCTCTCTCTCTCTCTCCACCCCTGGCCCAGACGTGGTAGCTCTCCTGCGGTGCATCTAATACCTTACACAGTTAATCAAAACCGGAGATTTATTGCTTGCTTTATTTCTTGTATTCACTACACTCTTGAAAAAATGGCTTATTTTCAATGCAAAATTAATCTTATGAATAACAAGGAATCCAATGTATTTTTTATCTGAGTGTTACCATTGACTTCATCTGCTAGGAGGTAGATGCTGTTTGAAGACGCAGGGTGTGGAGCGAGCGGTGTGTAGCAGGTGATGATGAGAGGGCCAGGGAGGGCGGTAGAGGGAGCGACGCCTGATGTATCGAGCAGCCAGTGTGATTATACTGCCCGAGCCTTTACTAATAACCGGGTAGGTCCTCCAGCTTGGGCGGAGGAACTTAACTTAGCTGGGAGATGATACACTCCTCTCCTCTCTCCAGCCGCTCGATATTGCAGCTGACACCCTTGACGTACTGTACCAGCGGACATCTAAGACGTATTAGTTGACACCTATCTCCCTAATGATGCATGATCTGATGTCTCTGAACCTCGCGACACATCCTCTGACATCCTTATGCCTCCATACCTGACTTCTTGTCCTCGCCCATTTTGACAAGTTACTCTCGTTTTCATGCCGCCCTCTGATGACGCCTGAGATACTTTCTTCCCTCCCTAAAATTGTCTCCCATCTCCCCCTCCCCTCGCTCTTCCACCCTGACCTGGCACCGCGTAAGTAATAACCTTGTTGGCTGGATAGGCAAAATTATATCTGGGGTCAAACAAACACTTCTCACCTAACCTTTGTGTTTCAGTACACCTTTTTGTCAAATTGGTGACAGAGAAACTTACTAAGTGTTGCAAATAATAGCTAAACGCCATCGCTTGTGCCGCTTTGATAGATAGTCCGCGTGATGCAGCTCATTGTCAACCATTCGTCTCGTTGGTCAGCAGAGATGGGAATAATTGTCGAGGCTACAGTTTCGCTGTTACACACAGAGTGGTTAGGCTACCGGGTGTGGTGTCCAGAGGCACTGAGGGAGAGGTACAGCGAGTGTTGTGTCGGAGCAGTCAATAGACAACGAGCGATCTATTCTTTAATTTAGTGAAGTTCCATAAAGGTAATGGTAGCAGACGTTGTAGGTAGGAGGGAGCAAGGACCGGTCAGGCGCAGATGAATGGATCTTGTCCCTCCGTAGGGCAGCGCCTGGGTGCTCTCGCCACCACGGCTCCACACAGGGAGGCTCAGGCCAAGAACGGCAACCCTACCCGGGGGTGAGGGGGCGGGAGGCGATCACAGGGACGATTACAATCACAATTAAACCTTCGGTACCTTAGAGCTAAGGTATTAGAAAGTCAGGTATTCCCGAGTGATTAATGAATACCTCAAGTGGTTTTGTGTTTAGTACAACACGATACGCAGTGGGAACCTGGTGAATTATATCACATTTAATATTCATGCCTATGTTGTTGGTTTTAAGACAACCTTTGGCTCTTAAATGTATATTAAAGAATTTATTAAACACGGAAAACATAGATTCCATGATGCTTGATATCATAAAAATGCAAATATCAGGATTTATTGCTTCACCAACTTTGCATCGGACTGTGTAGTAGCAAGTTGACTCCACCACTCCTGTCGCAACAACGCTGATAATGTGTTAGTTATGCAGCAAGTATGAAGATATAGTGATATCTAGAGAGATATTATCCCCGTGGGCGTCCAACACTCAACTCTGACCAGCTCCTGTAAACGAAAACAAGAGTTGTGTCTGATGCAGCTTTAACACCTGACACTCACTACAATATTTCGTTGTCTTTCTACTATTGTTTCTCACTGGCTCTGTTGACAGTCTTCTAATGCAATATTACTTTTATTCTTATTGTGACCAACACTCGACTGTGTCTCGTGGGTGTGGGTAGTTAATACAGTGTTCAACATTTTAGGATCCCGGTGCCAGTACTGTCAGAACTACTGCTGAGGGCACCTCGTGGACTTACAGATTAGAGTAACGGGGTTCAGTATAGTGAGATATATAATTTGTATTTTTTCGGGATAATTCTTCTCTCGCAGCTCTTGGCTGTACCCTAGGGCCTCCGATGCTCAAACATTCGATTAAAGTTTTTACTCAAAGGTCAACAAAACACAACCAATCACGGAAACACGGAAATGTTGTAGTGTGCTGCTCTTTACTGTACAGGAGTCAGTTATATATTTGACCATAAC